GTATTCCAATCATACTCAATTCCCAGAATCGTCCATCTCAGTTTGTTACCAGCATTCTTCAGAACTTCGCTAAATTTCTAATCTGAGAAGAAATCAATGTTTGAAACCTTTCCGGACTTGTTCCGTGTATTGTCATATTAGTCGTATGAGGAGGTTCTGGATATTTGAAAACTCTCTTGGTCCATTCTACCTGAGCTTCCTCCGTCAGAACCCCAGGTAGAATGAACAATCCATTACGACCTCGGAATGTTGCAATTTTCCAATCCTCGAAAGGTTTAAGGCCTAAAGCTCGAGCTTTTTCGCGTAAACATTGTAAGCTCGCGATGTCTACCAAAGCGTTAACTGACATATCAGTATGCGAGTCAGGCTCATGAGGATCTAGAATATTTCGCCATTAAACCAAATTCATTTTAGTGTACCTATAACATCTGTTAAATCTGGCAAAGGTCGTTTCTTCTTGTATTTTTTGAAAATTTTTTTGAATACTGTCATTGCTGACGCTTGACCGCCGTTCTCATACTGGTCTCCGCCCTCAAACAGAACAGATATAAGTTAAAGCTAAATATGTAAATTTTTCACCTCATCGCTTTGATCAGCCTCACTGTCCGAGTTTCTCCGCTTCACGTTTTCGTTGTCTTTCATCATTGATTGATTTGTATTTTCGGAGCAGTTCAATCTTCCCTCGTTCAAGCTCATTGTTGTATTCCTGGATCGTACGCATGTAAGAATTAACTGTATAATTACCTGCATAGGCTGCCAATAGTACGAGATAGCATTAGCACCAACGATAACTCCAATAACAAGGACGGCGCTTTTTTTAAATGCGTCTTCAATTGGGATTCTATATGGCCACCAGCGAGGGTTGGACGACATTCAAGTCCAGAGACGCCTCCAAATCAGAAGGTGTACTTCGCAGTTCAAAGATGATGTAAAAAATATTGTAATATGCCTTTGAGCAGTGCTAACTTGAAAAAACATTAAACGAAAAAAGGTTTATCATAAAAAATTCTGTTAATATTGTAACTGGAGATTATTTTTCAAAACAAGTGGGAAAATTCAAAAATGATATTAAAGCGAGTAAATGAGATTCAAAACACAACCATGAAACTTCTTCATAAGTTTGAAAGACCAAATATATACAAATCTTAAAACTTGGTTAGACGGTCCAGGGTAAATTCTACAGTAGAGGCTTGTTTGGTTCTATCGATAATCGTAGATACAGGTGGAGCATCATCACATGCAGTGCTCTCTTCCGTTTTCTGCGACTTCTTTCCTTTTTTCGGCTGAAATACAGGAATCAAAAAAGTAAAATCAGAAATCAACTTACTGCGACCTGGTCAACAGCTCCGAAGCGAGTCTTGACATAATGCAAACGCAGCATTCCTTTAATCAATTTTTTCCAATTTTCATATGCGTGATCACGTTGTTTCTTAATACAGACCGAATGAAGAAAACTGATTTGCATATATGTCAATAATACCTTTGCCTCTTTTTCTATCCTGATTTCTTCTTGTCTGTTCCATTCTTTTACAAACAAATCAGCATCCTTCTCCAAAACGCAGGCTCCTTCAACACTATAATTGAAAGTATTATACGCTGCTAATCCATCATCGCGAACATTGGATAATTACTACAACTGTGGAAATCCCAGCCAACAACGGCAGGAGCACATTCCTTATTCAATTTTCTGGCGATATTGGGTAACCCTAAAAAACAGTACATTGATTGAAACCATATTACAAAATACCATTCAAGCGGAGATGAACAGTGCCGATGGGGACCATTGAAGGTTGATATATGTACACATTCCCGAACTCATTCCTAGGTATTTTACCCTGCAAAAAAAAACATGTTTTTAACTTCATGTTGAGACTATGATGATTACGTTTTTAACAGCGGGAGGTTTGAAAGGAGTTGTCTGCCAGTAGCCATAAATTCCGACATACAGTTGCTCTCTTTCTTCAACCGGAATACGAGGATCAGTCAGAGCTTTTACAGTCTTGTAAGGCTTTTCACCTTTCTAAATGAAGTGACTCACTGAAATTTTGTCATAAAACACTAACTCTGATACTTCGAGCCATTTTCTCCCAACGTTTCTCATTTTGTAAAGTATATACTGTGTCACGAGGATAAACATTATGCCCTTTGACAGCTCCAATAGGTTTCTGTTTTTCAATAGGAGGGTACAGTGCTTGAAATTTCAATAAATCTTTCTCCAAGACATATCTGAAACATAGAAAAATAACAAACTTCTCAGGTGTTCTAATGTTAGTACAGAGGATGGTTCTTGAACTCAGCTAAAGAAGTTGGCAACGGCCGCATAACCAACTCAGTTTTGAAATGAACATCTTCAAGTTGGGACCTTTCTCTATTGGCGATGAGAGTCTGCAACAGAATAAACAAAATCTTGAACTTTTTCTTACCTTTTTTCGCAAAGTTTGGATCAACCACGGTTTATCACATCGACGACGACGGAAGTAAGGCTTGACATAATCGCTAGCATATCTTGCAGTAACATCCCGAACTCCTCTATCTACAAATTTCAGCAACGGTACTTTTGAATGTATAATAATAGCTTACGATTATCAATCGCAAACACATAAGAAATAGGCTCACGGATGAGAGCTTCAATCCCATTAGGTTCATCAATAACTGAAGTAGTGGGATTCACACCTAATGATAAAGATATGAAAAGTTGCTAATGAGAACACACTTACAAATCCAGCGATTCAGTTTGCTCTCCCATACTTCTACCCAGTAATCTTGGATATCTCTGTTCGCATGCAAACTCTTCTTATTAAAGTTCTCTTTCAACTCAATGTACTTCTCGATGGTCTCCTTGAAAAAAAAACATAAAAAAGGTAAGGAGGGAGCATACAAACCAGGTTCCAAGATCGGGCGATTGGTCTAACATTGACACAGACGCGACATATATAATCAAAAGAACAGAATAGCGCAAAAAGCAACTGAAGCAAGGTTAAGTGATGGTAACAAGTAGAGCCAAACCGCTGTTCTCTCCAAATCAGTTTCATATTTTTGAGCAGTAACTAATGCTGCATAATGAGCAGTTTCACGATAATTTACATCATCTAGAACAGTTTGATCAACTCCTATATCATCAAGAGTAGGCTGAAAACATGCTCAGAATGAGTGATAATAGGAGAGCCTAACCTTGTAAGTGGATGTGTACCAGTTAATGATTTTCTTAATTGTTTTCAGAGTCGAAGGTTCCCCTATACATGATCTCAGTTCACCAGTAGTCTAAAACCAATCATTTATTCTCCCTAATTTACATCTTACGTACCTGGGTTAGTAAGAGAGATGGTATAAGGGTTTCAACTGTAACAGTTTTATGAATATGTTGTAAGTGAGCAATATAACACAGAAGATGAGCCTTAAAATATGAATTATGTGAATCTACTCCTTAAAGGAACCTTATGAGTGTTTTCCCAATTTTCTCGGATACATTTATTGACTTCTTGTCGTAAATAAAACGCCCACCAGTCAGGTTCCGCTTTTTGTTTCTCAACAGTAACTTCCACTCTTGTAGTGATATCAGTGTTGTCGAAAGCTTCCATCTCCTCCCATTCATCTTCCGAAGAGGAATCTGAACAGACACATTGAAATATGAAAAATGTTTTTTTCTAACTAGCTTCTGCCTCAGGTTTTTCACTGTTGCCCTCCAAAATCAATGTCTCTTTAATTTTACGAGCTTGCTCACGGAAGCTTTGAACTATCTCGGCGGCTTCTTCCATTGTCATTTCATAAAGCCTTCCAGAAGCCAGCATACACGAGTGCTGCCTTCAGAAACAGAATAGCACATGAGATATCAGTAGCGTACCTGAATTCCAGCATTTTTCTCTCACCCTTGGACATCTTACGGCCAGAACGGGGATCCTGAACTCATTTTTCTCTTATGTATCATTGGAATACGCTCACGTCATATGAAATATTTTTCTGCCAAGGCTGAGCAGTTTTCTTCTGTAGGTGAGTTCGTCCAGATGGAGCTTTAGAAGCTTTTGAACTACGATTGCTGTTTCGAGAAACTGTTTTGGTCCTATTTGATGATTCTGCATTGAACAAAGAAAATTTATAAACAATGTATGAGTTCTCACTGCTTGGACCACTCGATTTAGACTTCGATGAGCTTGCACGATTAGAGGAAGCTCGTTTTTGCGTTGGTCCTCCCCTCCTGCGTGGATTTTTCGGAACAAAATCATCTTCGTCGTCATCATCAGCCAAATCATTAACTTCTTCCGCTATTTCCTCATCTGCATCATTACCGAAAGAAATGTCTTCATCGGTGCCCTATTTCATCCGTTTATGTGATGATGCAGTTTCAATCGTCACCTCTTGAGCTTTCTGGATCTCCTCTTCTACATCAGTATTAAACTCGCTGACTTCACTATCATCGGATGAGGATGAACTGGATAGAGAATCTTGACTATCGTTCAGTTTTACAGTAAATCCTTTACGAGCTTTGACAGCAGATGCGCGTGGTCCTAAGAAAAAAAAAGATAACTCAGTTAATTCAAACGAAATACTTCTTGTGCTCCTGCTTGTGCTTGGGTTCGCGCGGGTTTTACTGGAAGCTACTTTCTTTTGTGGAACGAAGTCCTTAACAATTCAGTTAAATCAGTCAACATAAGTGAAAACTTACATCTTCGCTTTCATTTCCGAAAGGAATAGAGCTATCCATTCCTTCAGTATCTTCATTATCGCTACTTTCGTCATCACCATTCTCATCTTCATCTCCATACTTTTCTTCATGCTCTTCTTCATCTTGCTTTACGTCAATTTCTTGTTTATCAACGGTAACTTCAGTCGCATTTTCTCTCTCTATCAATTGTGAAGGCTTCTCTTCCTCCTCCAATTCTTCTTTTTTGGGATCATTCTCAATCTTCAGTTCAGCTTTGGTTTTTTTTGGAGGCTCTGGCTCATTTGTTTCTTCAGTATCCTCGATCTTCTGTAATTTTAGTATAAAATGAAAACAAAAAATAAATAAAATACTTCCAACGCCCGTTTCGCCCTGGAGCGTGCTGTTCCGGAGGATTTGGCTTTGGAAGCAGAAGCTTTAGAAGCAGGAGCTTTTGAAGCTGGAGCTTTTGCTTTACTTTTTGTTTCCTGCTTTTTAGGCATTTCTTCTTTCGTATCTTCAGTATCCTGAATAAACAGATTTTGAATAAGACAGCAAAGAAGCTACAACTTCAGATAGGCGGGAACTAGCGTTTGCAGAGCTTTTCGTCCGAGTTTTCCTCGCAGGAGCCTTTACAGCAGAGGGCTGAACGATATTCAAAACTCAGAATAAATTAACCATTCTAATTTACCTTAACTGCTTTGGGCGCTATCAGCTTTTTGTTGGGAGAATTGGAATAACTGTTGTCTTTCTCTTCGCTCACAACACCTTCATCCGGAGTCACGGGTCTTATAGGCTTAAAAAAAATATGATATTATCAATATAAAACGGTAGAAAACCTCTTTGGGTATTTTAACAAGATCAGAACGACGACGTCCCTTAGTTGTTTTGGGTATAGGAACTGTAGGTTCATCCTTCTGAAAAAAGAAAGTTGCGCAATCTCATTTCATCAAAAGCGCAATACTTTCTGTTCTTCATGCCTAGATCGAGCTACTTCAACAGCTTGAAGACGAGCTGATCGTCGGCGCAGTTCAGACATCGTTCATTAACACTATCAAGATTTTACCAATCTAAATTATATATGATAAAATATTAATCATTAACCATGCGCTGAAATTGAAAAGACGAAGAAAGAACAACGAAAGACATGTAACAGTCGGAATTCAAACACAGGAGAAAATTATTTTGTAAAAGCAGTGCAGGCACCAAAACTGACTGTAATCACGCATACCAACGGCGATTTGAGAATTAAGGTTAATAAATATAAAAAGAACATCGATAATTCTAAAAAATTATGACACGAAACTGCTTTTATTACGAAACAGTTTCTCAACTTGAAGAGCTTGGGAGGTCCCAATCGAAAGGGGGATAATCTTCTATTTTAGCTTCTCTCTTGATCTTAAAAAATTGTTCTGAGGATAACTTTGATAAAGATTGAACTTCTTTTAGAATATTGAATATTCTGTGATAATCAGGAATACTGCTGAAGCTGTACCCATCGATAAGTTTCAAAATTTCGTCAAATTGTTGAGGGCAGTGAGACAAATATTTTTGTCTATTTCTATTGCGAAATGCCTGTTTTGATTTCTGAACTTCCTCTCTGTCTGGAATGACCGGAAGCGATTAGTTTTGAAATGCAACAAACTAATAAATCCTCTCCAAGGCAAAGACCCTTGTGTGATCTCAACCAGCATATAGAACCAACTTTCGAGATCATCTCTGCGTGATAAATCCTTCAACAATAGAATGCTAATTAAGTGAGGCTTTCTTACTTGACGCAAGTGGGCGACCAGGCTTCCATATCTATCAGTCCCTCTCCAACCTATGTCACTTCTAGGTGCGATAAGCATATCGTGCTGATTCAGATTGTACATCAGTTTGAATCACACTGATTTACCTTGTCCACATATTTCTTAGATAGACCGAAATCATAAATGAAAATCGTTTGTTCTTGCCGGTTTTCTGGATGTCCAGGAGCAAAGTTCCCAGGTTTTATGTCTCGAGAGATAATTCCCAAAGCATGAAGTTCTTGGATAGCCTTTATAAAATACGAGTAGACAGAATGATTTATACTAAATTATACCTCCAGAGTTTGCTCCGCAATATTGAGGACCGTCGGTAGCGAGAATCTTTTGCATTCCATAGAATGTCGTAGCTTATGAAGATCAGGTCCGAGTAGAGTCATAATCATGAACGATATTGTTCTTGGAATTATTCCCTGAATAAACTAGAAGTGCACTCATTTCTAATCTGGAAACGTACGTGTCCGATAAGTTCACAAAAATGTTTTCCGCCTGTACGACCTGCTGTTCGAAGAACTCTTACTTCAGTGTGTAACATTAAATGATCATAATTCTCAATCTTTATGGCAACTTTCCTATAAAGGATCTTGTAATCCAATGTTCCACTCAGATATTACTTTTCTTGTCCTTCATCATTCATCATTATTGCTGAGTAAACCTTGCCATGCCCCCCATCTCCTAGCAAATCTTCGAAGCTATACTTCGAACCTTTCACGCGGAAAAGAGTTCCCCTTCTAGGACTGAATTCTATTTTCTTCATTCTGATTGTAAAACACATTATTCGTCATTTGAATTATCAATTGAACATACTTGAGTAAGTTCGTAGCCAAACTGTAAAAGCGAGAAGCAGACCGGTCACACGGCGAAAAAAATAAAAATAAAAAATCATGTCAACTGAAAACTGTGTATACCAGCTGATCAGTATTGTCTTCCATGACATAAGAGGGCAAAGAAAATCTGTTTTGGAACTATTCGTTGTAGGTTGGTCTGTCCGCATGGATTTGATCTTTGTATCGCCTCCGATCTCTAATGTTCTTGAATTTTCTGAAATAATTAATTATTCAAGTAGAAGTCAAGCATCTACAGAAAGTCATTAGATTACATGCTTGATTAAGCTTTAGGAATAATCTTCATAAACTTTGGTCATTATAAATAGATGTCTCGAATCATTAGAAAAGATAATTTTTACATTTTTCTAAACGGAGTTATCATTTCAATCAAGTTGTTCTCCCATACTTCTCAGGTCTTTGTTGAAGATTGAACTGTAAGGGACTAGATGCTCATCGACAGGAATCCATCAAAAGAGCAAACGGTTCTCCTAGAGTTCTACAACATACTTCTGTTCAGCTTTTCACCTGTATCCTTATTAATTCTATTCTTATCTGTTTATTGCATTCTCTGGAATTCGCCTGTCTCTATGTCTCGGCAGTACAAAATATTTCTATTTCTTCAATGCTTTTTGTAAGTCTTTTGCACCTACAGCAACTTAAGCTTATATACAGGACTGCTTTATCCATTCTGTGCTTATCAGCAGCAACACATCCCGTTATTTTCACACCATGCTTTGCGGGATTTCCTAACGGTTTTCTGAACTTTTATAACGTGCCATCGATAGTTCAGCTAGAAATTCAAACCACTCTCTTGTGTTGTAAGTACCTCTCACTCTTTGTCAACAACCATTCTTAACGCGTATGATTTGGAAAAATGAAATTTATGTTTTATAGAAGATTGCATACCTTTGTTCTTCCATTTTTAGACATGGCGGGAATGACAATCATGTTGTTCTACATTCGCTACCTTTCCTTAAATATCCGAAAACAAAACAGTTCTTGGACTCTCAGTCGTCTTTCATTATATATACTATGGCTTATGAATTTCTTCGTTTTGCCAACTTTGTCCAGTTATACGTTACAAATCGAAAACAAGATAGGGAATCGTAAGATATGTAGAAGGGTGGGACAGATTGTTAAGATTAATGGAAAGCAACTCAATTTTTAGAGATTCACAGGAGACAGAACAGTACTTCATTATACCAAAACAATATTTCTCTCATTTTACAACTCCGGTGTGTCATGTGCTCTGTTCACTAGTCTGATCTCCTTCTTGTACATCTTATTCACTGTTTGTCTTTTGACATTCAACTATTTAACCCAAAAAGGCTTAGTGGATCTGAAAACGCAAGTATCGGTGAATCAGCACAAGAAGCATGTTTTCCTTTCACATGTACTGTCAGTGCAGGTTGGATCTTCATTAACTTCCACCCCAATATCATATTTTTGAAGGCTGCTATACAGGCTGTATGTTTGTGTGTACCCATGATCATGTTCATGACAATTTCCTTCTTCAGTTTGAATATACCTAGTGAGTGTTATGGCTTTTTACAAATTTTACTTGATTTCCAGATGGTCACCACGTTTGTATAATCATTTTATGTCTAATAATAACGTCTCCCTTCTATGTATTCTTTACTGTTCCTTCCTACCGAAGAGCGATTTTCAATCTATTCCCCATAGTACCGGAAAGTGTTCAGCCAAGATTGGAAATATCTAGAAGCACAACTATCAATAACTGAAACATAGAATTCATTATGTAATGACCGTTCTATTAGATCATGCGTGGAAGAGCATGATGGAATAAATAAAGTATATCGACAGTTTAAATACAACAAACAACACCAAATACAAATCATAACCCTTCTTATCTTACAAACCCTAAGTACCTTAGCTATGATTGAAAGAACTACCAAAGATATATGACTGAAAGTTATGAGCATCTAGCAAACTAGTGCAGAAACAGATTTTTCGAAGGTTAAATTTGGACCGACTAAATGATACCGTAAGAGAGCGGACAAAAGTGCATATGGCGCGACAATTTCATTCAAAATTTTTTATATCATTTTCTTGCATATTTTGAGAGAGATATTCTATTTTGCATAAAATTTCAGCTTTACTTCATGTTAACATGCAGGCAAGAGCAATAGAACATATAGTGTTTTCCCATTCAAGAAGTATACCTCATGTACATATCACAGGATTAATTGAATCAGGTATGATGTCAGGAAATGAGTAAAGGTTTCATTGTCAAGTGTAGGGGTAGAAGATTTCGTTTGGAATACAGGAGCAAATTATGTTCTGAACAACACATGGAAAGTTAGTACTTGTATTCTTTCAGTTTAGTTTTCAGTGATTGAAGTATTCTTTAGACTGGGAAGGTTAACTGCTTGCATTGTGATGGAAATTTAAAAGTTCTTATTCATGACTTGTGCGAAAGCGTTCGTTTGCCCACCAAAAAAATTGATACAATTGAAAGCCTTGGTGTTGCCATAAGAAATCTACTAAATAAGACGTTAGTTTTTTTGCTGAATAGTCTGTAATATGTATTTCCCAAGGCCTGGAGTTCAACTTCTTCTTATGCTAACGGATAGTGATGGACTATCCAAATTGAACTCTCATGCTCGGCATGCCTTGTTAAATTTGCCTCAAGCTGTTAGTTTCTTTTAATTACGCTATTCATGTTTTTGTCGAAGGATTTTCGGGTAAGAATAGTGACGATCAGCGAGCGAACTTGGCAACTGTTTGAAGTGGATCAGTATGTGGAGTCTTTCAACCCTGTCCAATTGCATTGGAAATTAACTAGAGGTGTGTTCCTAATTTTATCTAGTACTTGTACAATATTCGTTCTTCAGACCCAGTTGTAATGGTAGATGGAATTCAAAAAAGGCTTGATGTTGAAAGATCTCTTGCTCAAACTGTGGTTGGATCTGTTCAAGAACACACTCTTGATCCGGCTATCTTTGATACAGTGGTCATTCAGACTCTCCGAGATACTTCTGATAATACTAATTTTCGAGCTCGAGTTCCAGAAGTATTTGTAAGTAGAATATTCTCTGTGTATCTTCAATCCTTTTTCTTTAGCGAAGTGTGGAAAATCAGAAAATGCTCAGTAAACACTCACAACAAGAGAACGACCTCCCTCTTTCCTTACGGTAATTTGAATCTTTACTCTTCAACATCGCTCATGTTCTAAGACTTCTACTAATAGCCTCTTACTGTGCAACTCACAACACTCCCTCCACCGATAAAAGGTTTTTCGCGAAGGTTTTATATCTGATTATTTTGATTTATCAATTCTCTATGTTTAGCATCATGGCAGAGAAGTCAGGAATGAAGCTCAGGATCGGCGTAATGCTTTGATTGAAGTAAACTCCTTGGTCTCTATATGCTGATTAGGTTTTTTAAACTGTTTAGAATGATCCCAAAGCCGTCGATTTGCAAAGAATTTATTTTATTTATACCGTATTAGCTCGGCTTCAGTCGGACGACATCAAAAAACTTGGCGTGAATCTTACTAACAGCATAAACATTCGATCTCAAGTTTGTGATTTTTTCGCTGTTCAGGTGTCATCCTTCTTTCAGATCACTACTCTAGTCGCTATGGGATTATTAGCCAGAAGCTCAGCCAGTGCTAATCTCGATCAACCGAAGTATAGATGTATTGTTTCCTTTGAATATGCTGGAAAGCTGGCAAGGTTTGCTTCCGTGTACGCAAGTATGAGTCTTAACTGTTGTCATTCCTCAGGTCAGTAGGAATGGAGCTCACCGATTATCTTGAAAAGAAGTTTTAAACAACTTTCGGAACACGTGTATGGTATCATCAGTTTTATCTAAGAAAGTTCATGAATAAACTTGTATGAAGTATAGTCTTATATTGATGAAAGATAACATTGGAATGGGAGAAAAGACAATTTTGATTCGCATGTGCTCTCATCTCACTCTGCAACCTCCCCTTAAGACACCTGACG